CCCCAAAACCCCAAAACCCCAAAACCCCAAAACCCCGTGATATCATCATAAATAATAAAATGAGTTTTTGATTTAATAATATCTAGTATTTTTTCCTAAAGATAAATTCGATTTCAATAGCAATTTCATAACTCCTCATTAGATAATCTCATCTCTGATTTTATTATACTTTAATGTGTAAGTTAGTTCAAATGTCCTTATCTACTGAGCAACAAGAGCTATTTTATACTTACTTGGATCCTCAAAAGTAGGGGGCGGAGTTATTTTTGAATCATCATCTCCCTTAAGATTGTTTTTATTCTTTATTATATCTGACATATCTTGAACTCCAGTCAGTCCTTTTTCAATTATTTGAACATTAGGATCATTTAACTTAGAATTTGCTTCTCTGAATAATTACTTTGCATAATCTTGAACATCGATATATACCAATGTCTTATCTAAATCTGAGTTTGATTAGTAATCGAAAATATCTTCCAAGTTATAAAATCTAACAAGAATCTTGTTCTTTTCCTGAGGAATCAAATTTATCTTGATCGTTATATTTCTTTTATCTTCATTCACAAATTTTGCAAATCTACCCTCTTTATTAATTTTTGCATGACTCATGACATTCAGGTTTTCTTTCCATTGACTGGTATAGAAATACTAGATTGCTTGCTCAGTTTAAATTTGCTGCTGTCTCTGATAAGATTATTCCTAAGTTCTATCGAACAGATGAACCCAAAAAGTGCCCCGAAGTGGACTGTTGATTACCTCTCCGCTAAACTCATAGATTCTCCTGTTGAAAAGTAATTCTATACTTTTAGATTTGTCATCATATGAACCACCTTATGCTCGATCATTCATAATTGTCATTTGCATTTTCTTTTGATTATCTACTATTGCTATTGAGGAGGTAACAGGGAAAAAATTGAATGCTTTAACTGCATTAGTCTTGTATTGGAAATTTGGTTTCTTATTTAATTCTCTTCTTTGCATTTCAAGACCATTTGAATCTGTGTAGAATACCTATCCATTGTCTAATTATTTTTTCTTAGAATTAGTTTCCTTTTCCTTGAAATTTACAGTGATTTCTTGAGCTCCTTAGTCAGAAGGTATTTCATCCATATAAACCTCAAATTCTATAGTTGGGAGTTTCTCGTAAGCTCTTACTTTAACCTCAGCATATCTATCTCCACTAGTTTTATTGAGATATCTAATAAAGATTTCTTAACAAAACTCTCCATTAGATGTAACTTGATCTGTAAAGGTATTGTATTGGATTGATATTTAATGGTCTAATTTTGGTTGAAACTTATATACATCACTAGATGAGTGAGTTTAACTTGAACTTTCAACTTGGTAGTATCTCAATTAAAAGTAGAATTGCCTGTTTATGCCTTTTAAATCTGTTACTTAAAACAATGAACCGTTCTCATCTTCACCTAGGTAGCTGATTTTATTCAATTTATTTTACTATTTTTTCTATTCAAGAGACTTTTTAGTATTTTGAAAGTTGATTTTAATAAGTGAGAGAGAATCAATAGAAATAGGATTTTCAACAATCATCTCACAGTTATTGACTGTTTAATTTGAATCTTTGTAGGTAAATTCATGGCAAAAAATCTCTGATCTGACAGGATCGAATTGCTTTGTTGTTGTATTCCAGACTTGAGCATCGTATTTATCACTTGGCAACTTTATTTTCTAGTATTGTACCTCGATATTTGCTGGATTTTGAGCTACTACTAAGAATGACTAGTCTTAATAAGCTGAAACTGGACACTCAATATAAGTTTAATTATTTAGAGTGCATTGATCCCAAGTATTTGAATCAATGCCAAAACTCTTAAAAGCTAAATCACTGATAATTTTCTAGTATACTATATTATTATCATTCATACTTTTTACTATTCTCCTCATATAATCATCAGCTACAATTAAGCTACTTGTACCAGTAATAGCATCATGATGCTATTGAATTCCCAATTAATCTAATAAATTGTACTAAGCTTGCATTGTGACCTGAATTTCTTATTCGCTTGCTGATTAATCAATGACCTTAAGTGCATAAACTCTATTTGCTGCTTAGAGTAAAGTTGATGCATCTCTAACTATTTTTTTATGTGTAGGTCTAGTTGAATAGTAGCCAGACCACACATCATCTAGAGAGCTAGGTTGTCTATATGGGAAAAAGTCGTCATAATTTGTAGGCCAAGTAATGTCTAGCTGAGATATTTTTTCGGAGTAATAACCAGGAGTAGAATAGAATAAAGAGACATTAGAGTATTTCGCGTTTATATATTTTATCATTTTGTCCATGGATTTGAATGTTTGCCAAGCATTTTAGAAATAAAAATCGCATCCAAATGAAATCATTACATGATTATGTCTCTATGCCTAAATCAACAATTATTATTGAAGAAAAATTTTACTTAAACAAATGATTGAACAATTTTCATGAATTCTTGGCTTTTCCAGTCAGCATTGAATGTGTCATAATCTGGATTGTCTATAAAAGCTGTATCATTATCAGAGTCATCTCTTGAATCAAAGCCAAAGTAGTTTTCATTGCAATAACCATCTTTCAAGACATGAGAAAATATCTAACTTTACTTTCCGACATGATTAAACATTGGTCTCCACTACATTTCAAAGTTTTTATTCTAAATTCTGTTTTGCAAATCTTAGCCGTCAATTCTCTCAAAATAGACAGCATTCAGACCCATGTCAGGAAAAAGTCTCTGAGCTGAAGTAGAATGACCGAAAACATCTACTTGCCAAGCAACTTTCGGACTATAGTCTAATTCTTTCTTTAGAAATTGATGACCAATGTACATATTGTTGATTTAATCTTCGTAGTTAGTTGTGGCTTCATCGTGAGATACCCATCCACCATTGACAAACTCTAATCTACCTTATTTAACAATATCCTTTACTTTTTGCTTCATTTCATCATTCTAATATTTCCACCACATCGAGAAATACTTAATTTCACAGTAGCAAAACCTTTTACTAGGATCTTTTATTAGGTGATGTATAGTAGTGTCCAAAATCATTTAAATAGATCCTCTTGCTTACTTTTCATTGGTACCAGTGAATGACTAATCTACTGTTTTCAACCATCCTAGATCATTATGCGTATGACCAATCAAATGAACTTAAATTGGCTCTTCATTTACTTTCTAATCCTCCTTTTTATCATTATTTTTGTGATTGTTATTTCCATGGAAATCAAAATTAGTTTTGAAAGCTGATACTTGAATCAACCCAGAGATCACAAGGGATAATTATAGCAATTGATAACGATTCATTTATCTATTATATTATAATATTAGTAGGATATTTAGTAATTTCTAATTAACAATAATGAATTTCAATATATAGAGATCCGGGGTTTTGGGGTTTTGGGGTTTTGGGGTTTTGGGG